TGCTCGCTCTTGTGCTTAAGGGCCCGTTAAGCCGGCCCCATTACCCAGGCTCTGAAGGACCCTCTCCGCTCTGGAAGCCCAAAGATCGGCCCCCACCGTTCCCTGAAAGGCTAGGCTGCCGGCGCTTTCGACACCTCAAAGACATTGCCCTTCCCAGGCCCCGTCTTGCAAGCCGGTCTGAGACGGATGCGCAATGGCGTAACCCTGAACCTTGAACCCAAGACCCCCTCACGCTGGAAACCCTTGCAGGACGACCATGGGCCTCCCACTGAGAGCACATCGTCTGGCTGAGCCGGCCTGACGGCTAAGACCACGCTGGCTGAAATGCCTTGAATGGGTAGGCACCAAGAAGGGTTTAGGTTTTGGGTAAACGGTCTAGGAATTGGGGGTTTGGCTCACACCTCAGGCTTTGGAGTTAGAACATCAGAACTTGGGGTGTAATGGGCCACAAGGATCCTTCGGCCCGATTCTCGCGATCCATCTTGAAACCTAATCTACACCACACGGTACAAAACTCAAAAGAATTGGGTCCAGGCAGGCCAAATTGGCGGCAGTGTATCTGTGCATGATAGAGGATGTTGGCAAGGATTTTATTTGAGAATACGTGTTGAGAGACTCTGCTTTGAAGTGAGCAGTGAGCACAAACATGGAACGGATGCATAGCACCGCACTCAGGTTCGATCGGCGTCGGGATCTTGCCCAGCAATCATCCGTATTCGCAGGAGATTTGTTCACTCATACATGTCCTCTGTTTCTACTGCCGGACATTCCATTGCAGCTCAGGTGCACCATAGCAAGGCCGCCAGCATCCACTAGCTAGGCTGCCAGCATCCGCTAGCTTCAACAGACAACAATTTGATGCGACTCTTCGAGCCACAAACTCAAGGGAGCAGGGCGGTATCTTATGTTGTATTCTATCATACTAAAGCCGCATTACACCCGCTTTTAGTATTGTGTTGGCTCCAACTGCTAACAAGGCCAGGAAGGCAGCGGCTGCTTGTCCCGCGGGGCTCTCCGACTAAGAGCACTGCACTTCCGATCCCCACCCTTCCAGTTCCCTGACCCCAAAAAAGGTTAGCCTCATCATTAGGGTAGGATTCATATACGACCTTCCCAGGAGTGGATCACAACCAAAAATCGATATAACCCCCCAAACTAGTTTCTGCGTTCAATCTCCGGTTCGCACCAGTAAACGACAGCATGACGCGCATGCTTTATCCAAGGGCTTGATGTTGGGGAAGAGGTGTTTTAGGGGGTCTCCGGGCTTGGGTTAAGGTACTGGACAAGCTTTGTCATTGGTGCTTACTTCTTACTCTTCCCTGGATATTTGCCATGGAATGTTCCAAGCTGCAAAAAGCTTAGCATAGAAAATGAGCTGCAGATGCTGTATCACAGGCTCATGACATCAGTATCATACTCTTCTTCGTCGTCATCATCATTCTTCTGCTCGACATGACACGCTAATCGTTTTGGGATCCTTTTACGACCACAAAGCCTAAACTTTGAAGTGGAGTTGTGAATAAATGCTCCAAGGGTCCAAGTGCCTAACTGCGATGGCTGCAAGTACCAAAAACCAGTCTGATTATAGCATGTCGGCTCTAGCGACCCATCATTTGGGTACTCGGACCCCTAACCCCAGACTCGTGACCTTAAATCCTGTTCTAGCCCAACACAAGCCGCTATATCCCCTTTAAAATCTTGAGCACCTGGAGGTGCCACATGCAGCCTTGTGACGCCAGGTGCGTGTGCATGCCACACTCCGTGACCTGCTCAATGGAGTCGCTTTCGGATTTTACTCGAAATTTTACAGCGCAGTCTAGGGTTTACGCATGGTTTAGGGCTTAGGGTTTCAAAGGCCTAGGCTGTAGAGTTTAGTTAGGCCTTAGGACGTGAAGCTTCGGGGGCTTCAGGCTTAGCGTTTTTTCATGTTTAGAGTTTAGAGTTTAGGGCTCAGAGTTTGGTGCCTATAGGGCTTACGGTTTAGAGTTTGTAGGGTGTTGAGATTAGTTTTCTGTGTTAGGGTTTGGGGCTGGAGCTCACGGTTTCGTGTCTGGGGCTTAAGGTTTAGAGTTTGGGACTTAGGGTTTAGAGTTTAGGTCGTAGGGTTTAGAGTTTAGGGCCAGGGATTAGGGTTTAGAGCTTAGGGTTTGGAGCTTGGGCCTTAGGGTTTAGGGTGTGGTTCAGGGTTGTGGGTTTGGGGTATTAGCGACTTTTGGAATGTTTGGGACCTGAGAAACGGCTGCCGCCTACGAAACGAGCCGTGTATCACACGAAAAATACGTATGTATTCTACACAGCAAGCATCGAATCATAAATATTGAGGCGTCCGTTCCCCGTCATCCTCATAGCAGGCTCGTACATTCCTGCGTAACATTGTTCCTCTCAAATCAACAAGCGCACTACTTGCCCGTATGATACCCGTACGCTCCCCTCAACTCGCCTTCCCGAACCGACTGTGATTGAATTGGAACCCAAACCAGATTCTGGTTTAGGGTTTAGGGTTTGAGTTTAGGGTTTGGGTTTAGGGTTTAGGGTTTTGGTTTAGGGTTAGGGTTTGGGGTTAGGGTTTGGGTGTTAGGGTTGATTTCATTGCCCTCAAAGGTCTCTGCATCACCCCGAAACAAAACATCCTGTAACTCAATTCCCGTAGCTCTGACCGTGGGCGCAAAACAAACTAGGCCTCATGTATCCCTAAACCCCTGGGGCTTAGGGTTTAGGGCCCAAGTACCTAATAGGTAACTGGGGTTTTGTTAATAGTAATTCTAGTACAGGGTTTGTAGAGGAACCAAGTCCAAAAGCCCGTTGTGCAGGATTCTTAGACTTCTAGCCCCGTAGATGGGCAGCAATTTAAGTGTTCGAACAAAAGAAGCGCGTATTCTTCTTGTAGCAATCTATAACCAATACGAGGAGATCATCTTACACTAAATTGGGGGCTGTCATTTCGCAAAAGCCGAAGGCAGAAGATCATCTTGCATTTAACTGGGGGGCTGTCATATCTCAAAAGAAAGCA